TGACTCTGTCATCTATTTTTGATTGCAAAGTTCATTTATCTAAGTGTCCTCAGAATACAGAACAGAGAAATGCAACATACTCTTGAGATTCTTAATGACTCGGAGTCTGCACTACGCCTGCTTGGGAGGTGGAAAGGATTAAATTGTCTTCAGCAGGTGCCAGTGAGTCCCTTAGACACAATGGCACCAAATAAGCCCAGTGCTATGTTATTAGTGTCGTGTACCGTAATATGGGCTGGATGACATGTGTTTTGGAAACTTATGCCCTTTCCTCACACTACACAGTTTCTTAGGTGGCAACTTCTGAGTGAATTGTCAGCCTCTTGACAATGTCTTAAAATCTGCTTTTAAAGGTGGAAGACTATGTTTCTGTTTGTTTAGGTGACCCCCCTCAATCCCTTGATTTCCCATGTTGATGATTTCTTTTCAGGTTTGCATCATCTGGTAATGTTATTCGTGTGATTTATGCCTCAGATATAGAACAACTTGTATTTTTCAGGACATAAAGCTATGGAGTCTCCATTCCCATATGAACCTCTATGCACCATTCACCTCTGCCATGTGATAATTAGCTTCACCTCCATAAACGAGGTGAGAAATAAAATCACTAATGTAGCAGGTGAGGCACAGCAAATGGAAGATTCCCTTCTCCAATTTTCTCTCACGCTCTTAACTTTTATTTAATTAGGCATTCATTTGTTATGTGTGTCCCTTCTGCTAGATTTTGAACTCCTAGAGGGCCACTATCATGCATTAATCACCATGGTGGTACATGTCACATAGAAGATGCTTATTGCTAAGTAGTTGGCTTCCATGTCTTCAGAAGCTGAAAAGGTGCTTTTCCTGAACCGAGAGATGGTTGTGAATGCTGCTCCTCCAGTGTGTTCCACACTTGCCCACTCAGTGCATTGTACCTACCAGTCCTTTTTAGGGAGCTATAGATTAGCTATATCATGTCAAGAGAGCTCTTTATAACCTGACTGTGAATCATCCTGATGAGATTTAATGTAAAATGACTCTGGCACCCTCTCCCATATTTGAGAAGTCCCTAATATAGCCCTCCTCTTCTTTATATGTGTAGTGGAATAGTCAGGAGTGGATCCTTAATGGGATAAATGAAATATTTCTTAAACTGAAGGCTAGGTAGCATTTTTTTCTTAGAAAACGGGGGTTGATTTTAGTTTTAAAAAGATTATTTAATGAATGAACAAAGTGTTACGATTATTTAATGAATGAATAAAGTGTTACATATATCCTTATAACAGAATAATTGTTCATCAATAAAAAAGAATAAAATACTAATATATGCTACAACATGGACAATGCTTGAAAACATTATGGTAAGTGAAAGAAGCAGGTCAAAAAGACAACATATTACATTATTCCACTTATATGAAACATCCACAATAGACAAATCTGCAGAGTCTATGGTGAAAGTAGATTAAATGGTTATTGGCAGGATTAGGGTAGGGAGTGATTGCTAATGGTTATGGGCTTCATTTTGGGATACTGAAAATGTTCTTAAATTAGATTGTATGAATGTATTAAAACTGATTTTAGTTAAATGAGTGAATTACATTGCATGTGAAGTTTATCTCAGTAAAACTACGTAGGTTGCCC